GTAAAAATTACTTTTGCTTAATTAATAGACTCAAGGATAGAGAGGGAGTTGAGCCGCCTGCAAAAAGGAGACGACGCAACTAGTCTTTTCTTGTCTTGGTTTTAATCACTGTACTTTAAGCTCACTCTTTCTCTCTCGCATTGAGACCAAAAAAAGGCTCATCAACAAAACCAGATGTGTGTCCGACCTTGTGCAATCGGAGTGATGGTTATAACATGTATGTAGAGAGAGAAAGATAGTGGTCATCAAATCTTGATGGCCAAAAATATACGTAACTTTTGCTATCCTAATTTGAGCCATCACTGCGGGTTTTGTGCATAAGCGAACACAAACAGGCACATGCACATACAGAGGCAGACACACTCACAGATATCGAAGTGGACACATAACCTTAACTAACCGAATCAATTTATACTTGATCAAAGAGGCCAGATGTAGAGTATATATACCACGTTTTAGGGATTTGCCAGTGAGTTTTCTTGACTAATTTGCTTGAATTTGGTTGTGATGATGATACCTTACTCTGATGATGTTCGCCATATGACGGACGAAAGCTTAGACCCTTTTCACAAGAATCGAAGGAGATTACCTCGGAAACAGAGTTTGCATCTAGTTCCAGTAAAGCCAATCGACAGCTGGTCAATAGGAATCCGCCGTCATCTTATGCTGCAATCTACCTAGGAATCTCTTTACAAACACTTTCATTCGAAATGGAATTAAGCACAACAATTATGAAATAAGAGATTCCTCGAAACCCAACTTTTCTTCGCATATATGAGGTAAAAGGGCTGGTGACAAGTGAGCTGATAGAATAAACGTATGGAATTTGTACATAAGTAACATCCTACATAGCAAAGATAAAGAAGATGCAATCGTATTTAATGCCAGAATTACGAAATAATACCAGATTACTCTTGAAAGTTAAAATTTATCGAAGCTCACCAGAGCTCTGGCATGTTTAATCATAATATCCAGATGCTGGCTATTCTCGCTCAGCTGCAGCTGCACTTGGATGGCTGGCTGCTGTCTTAGCATGGGTCCGTCGCGACTGCTTCCGGGAGGGGCAGGACTCAGGGGGGATTCCCCACAAGCTGCTGAACAATGGCGCCGAGAAATGGTACCTGAAACGTCGAGGCTGTGGGTGAGTGGAGAAGAGGGAGTGAGTAGCTCGATCCGGTCACGTTCATCTGAAGTTACCGCAAATGTAGGAGAGTGATTGATAGTCACTAAATAAGAAGAAGATTAGACAATGATAGAAAATAAGAAGCCCGAAAGCAAAACAAAGGATAAATATGGAGCAATTAGCCAGGCGAAGAAGACATCCTGTGGAAGCTGCATCGCAAGTTGTTCAATCGGGAAAATTTTGGTATTAATAAAAACAATTGTTGTAGAGACTTTCATTTCGTATGAAAATGCATTATTAAGAGATTTGTTGGTTTATCTAACTAGATGACGACGGCTACTTCGCGTTGTACTGTAGATATTTGGTTTAATATGACATTATAATTGACGCAATCCACGAGATATACCACCTAGTTTCGGTCGAAGACGTAATGAGTTTTAGTTCGCCATATGAGGATTATCATCAAAGCTGGGCTTGATTCTTACAAAAGTCTCATGTTAAAATTAAGTCAAGGAGACT